GCAGTGGTACCTCAAGTTTGACGAGGCGCTAATGGATTTTGGGTTTGAGAGGTCGGAGTGTGACCCCGCCTTGTACCACTTGGTGAGGCATGAGGGCAGGCTGTCCCTCTACCTCTATGTGGATGACATTCTGCTCATGTCCTCGAGCATGGTCTTGCTGGACGAGGTGAAGGGTCTCTTGTCCTCTCGGTTCCGCATGAAGGACTTGGGGGAGGCCAAGTACTATTTCGGGGTGCAGATTGAGCGTGATGAGAGTGGCATTCTAATTCATCAAGAGAGGTATATTCTCAACATGCTTGAGTCCTTTGGCCTTTCTGAGGCTAACCCCGTGCGTACCCCTCTCCCTACAGGGTTCGACGTGCATGCACATGCTGAGGAGCCCTTGCTGCGAGATGAGCTGGTCAAGCTCTATCAAAGCATTGTGGGGTCTCTCATGTATGCCAGCACAACCACACAGCCCCAGATTGCTTATGCAGTGTCACAGCTGTCCAAGGTCGTGTCTTGTCCCAAGGCATTTCACTTGCAGGCTGCTAAGAGAGTGCTAAGGTACCTGAAAGGTTGTGTCAAGTCAGGTATCTTCTACCCCGCACACAACAAGCCTCAGGTTGAGTTGGTGGGCTTTAGTGATGCTGATTATGCTGGAGATTCAGCTGATCGCAAGAGTCACACCGGCTATGTCTATTGCCTTAATGGTGCAGCCATCTCTTGGCAGAGCAAGAGGCAGCCAGTGGTTGCATTGTCCACCACTGAGAGTGAGTACATCAGTCTGTGTCAGTGCATTCAGGAGGGTGTGTGGCTGAAGCGGTTGTTTGGGGAGTTTGGGCATGAGTTTGCTGGTGGTGTGCCTGTGTTTGTGGACAACCAGTCTGCCATTGCCCTTGCACAGAATGCATGCTTGCATGGCCGCACCAAGCACATGCAGGTTCGGTGGCATTTCATCAGGGAGATGGTGGCGTGCGGCGAGGTGATCCTCCGGTGGTGCCCCACCAACCGTCAAGCAGCAGATATACTCACCAAACCCCTCCCCTTTGAGCGGCATGGTGTGTGCATGTCCTTGATGGGGATGCAGCCCCATGTCAGCATGGTGCCTGAGTAGGATGTGGGAGGACTGGTGCTTCTCTGCCTTGACAACCTCATGCTGTGGATGGCGCCCCTCCCTGGGCAAGGGGGAGTGAAGTGAAGGATTTTGCCCAGTGGTGTTCAGCCACCTCCAGCACGAGCAAGGGGGAGTGTTGATTGTGTAGGTGGTTGTGGTATTTTGCTCTAGCTGGTTGTGGGCTAAGGGTTTGGGCAAAATGTGGTGGTTAGACTTGTTGCGGGCTGGAATTGATCTCGCACCCAACAAGCACCAACAAACCTTTGCTATTCACTACAACACCTTTGATGTTGCTAGTTTAGCACTTTGGGTTGTTGGGGATTGTTGTAGGGCGAGGGTTGGGTTGGTAAGGTTTGAACAATTCGTCACTTTTCAGATCTGAACTCTTGCTAAAGCTACTTTTCTTGAACTAATCCATGGCTGCCTAGTAATTCTGTCAGAACACCCCGTCGCACATAAATCGCGATAGCGATCGGCCTAGATCTTGGTTGAACGCGTGCGTTACCATTCTGGAAAGTAGAGATTATGACCTTTCCAACGCGTACCTGCTCATAGCTTAAGGTTACGTGAGCTGCACGCAATGTTCCGTCAAGGTCGGCGGAGTTAATCTCTTGTTACGCTCTCCAGATTCGCTCGCTTTCCATCACGAAGCTCCTGGGCGGACATGGCCGCGGGCGACGAGAACACCCCACAAAGTCACCACACAGTCATGGGTGACCACGACTCCTTCCAATCTCCATAACGTAGAGGTGGCAGCCATGTTGGGAGTACTTCACGCGCCCATGAGCACCCATGATGTGGGTCAACGAGCTTCATCAGGGTTGGGTGTGATGTGCGGATGCAGCGCACAATATGATCAAGCATTCTCAAATCTGCCTGATGCATAATGTCCGCCATTACTACAAGAAATGGGTTTGCCCATGGCAAGTCACCAACCGCCCACCTCCTAAGGGCACACAACATGCGCACAGAAGACCCCAAAGCACCATAATGATTATCAACAATGAAGAATGTTTGGGCTGCCTTTAGGGAATGAAATGTGTTCTTACATTCAACGTCGAATGTTGAGTACCGCTTCAATAGATTGTCGCCACTATTTGCACGCATTCCGACAACGTTCTCCATGACCCATTGCTGCTGCGCTGGTGTACGCACTTAATTGGTCAAGTGCACGGAAGATAGGTGCTCTTGTCGAGGTTTAGGGATAAACATATCAAGAACACAATGCTGGCTGCCGGGTACACACGAACACAATAAGCATCACGTATATTCAATGTACGCCCTGATGTTGACCCACGAGAGTTGTTAAACATACCTTGTCCACGTAACAGATGCTACAGGGTTTGTTGCAACCCTGTCCCGAACGTGTGCAGGTGATCATCCCCGACTCCGGGTGATCACACGCCCATGCATAGAGCAGTGGCACAATCCATCTCTGTATCCCGTCAGCATCGAGCAGCATCACGCCACTGCATGGGACAAGTTCAAGAGAGGCCACAAATGAAACATTGAAGGTTTAGTCATATGTAACGTTGGTCACTGTCTAGGTGGGCAACACCATAGGGTCACCTTCCCCACAGCTGCTGGCTCGTCAAAGCCTTCATCCTTCTCTGGACCAGTCGGTACTGGCGTCGACACGAAGTAGAATGGACCCGGGTACCGATCGTCGCTCGGGTCCTTGTCATTGTCTCCGCTCTTCATGTTTGCAGCTCCGCCACCGCGACCGCCACGGCCTCCACGGCCTCTTCCTCTCCCTCCACCTTCTCCTCTACCCTCTTGGTCTTGAGCAGGGGTCCAACCATCAGGGAGTTTGTAGCAGTCGCGCCACATGTGTCCGCTCTTGTGGCAATAGTGACACTCGCCGTCGAATCGGCCGCGACCGCGTCCGTAGCTCTTGTCGTCGCTGCCGTAACCGCCACTCCCGCGGCCTCCACCGAAGCTGCTGCCACCAAACCTTCCTCCCCCTCGTTCTCTGCCTCTTCCTCGACCATATCCACGGCCGATGCTCGCTGCCCCAGCGCCATCCGCACTCGCCAACTCACGGCGGTGGAAGTCCTCTTGTAGGATCGCGCGCTTCACGTCTTCAAGCGAGAGACGGGGCAGATCACGGTTCAAGTTGATGATGAGCGAGGACCACGATTCGGGAAGTAGGGCCAGCAACTTGGTCTTCTTTTGGAGCTCACTGTAGTTCAAATCAGCTCCCTCAAGCCGCGTCAACAAGTCGAATAATTTCTGCACCCCTTCTTCAACCGCTTCATCCTCTTCAATTCGTAGCGTCGCCATTTGCCGTTCCAACACCACAGCAACCGCCGCTGTTGCAGGAGCGTGTACACCCTTGAGAGCAGCCCATGCCTTTGGTCCCTTCTCTGGTTCACGCTGGAATGGCTTGATGTGACGGATTTGACTGCTCCCCAACGCTTGCCCAAGTAGGAGGTAGCCTTGTGCGCTCTTCCGCACCCACGGGCTCTTCTCCGGGTCGTTCTCGGGACGCTTCTCCGTTCCTTCCATCACCTCCAGCAGGTCATAGTGATCAAACACATTCTCCATTCTGAAGGACCATTCAGCAAAGTTGTCGCCGTTGAACTTGTCAAGGCCAAACACTCTAGGCTCATCCCTAGATGGGCCAACACTTGGTTGCACGGGCGCCACGGATGAATCACGGGCCTGGCCTTGTGCTTGGGCTTCTCCACCGCCACCAGCACCTCTGCCACCCCTTTTCTCAGGTCCAGACATTGTCGAAACTTCTCCAAGGGGCTCTGATACCACTTGTTATAGTCACAGTAGGCTTCAATGTGCCTAAAACGAAAGATAGAGTGCACAGTCGGATTTCTGCACAGCGACTTTAAACGTTCATAGCGTTCTGGTCATAGCTTTAAATGACCTGATTCAACTTGGATATGGAGCGTCTTAATGTTTCCTACAATTGGGAATTTAGATCGCATGATTTGACCAAGTATTGACGACACAGAGTCGGTTTGAACGAACGGCACTATGGCAGCCACTATGGTCTTAGAACACAAGATCGGAAGAGTTAGGAAGAGTTACGAGTTGGGAATGACTCCCAGCTCCTACAAACCCCAAGAGCCGAGGTACAGTGATGTGGAACAGTGCCAAACTGTCCCCAACCACGAAGGGTCTCGAAACTACCCTTCACTAGGGCCTACACCAAGTGAAATGTCACACTACACAAAGTAATGCAACTATCTTCAATATCTTGAGGTGTAGCCTTTTGGCGAGCTTCGCGATCACTTGAATGTTGACATCAGGGCTCGGGTTCTTCATCACAAACTCATCCTTGAGTTCTTGATGGGTCTGCTGCACACACCTGCGACACGCCGAACGTTCGACAAGCGACAAAATAGAAACTGCGCACGACAAAATAGAAACCGCGCGGGACAAACAAAATGACCACGCTACACGCGACTAGCGATAATTCGCTATTGACTTGACACACACACTCGACATCATGACCCATCATTCATTCATACCCTACACTATTATAAGCATGAAATATATATTTATATCATGCATTCATTCCATTCCATGCACACACGAATGCACGCACACGGACAACAAGCCGAGTGCAAACCGTAGGTTGCACCACCAAGAAAGAGCCGACATCTGATGGTGCAGGCTGGGAATAACCCTGCAAATCACATGCGGGTAGCCCACCCATTCCCACGTCACATGCCACGTCACCCCGTCCACCTACAGCGGTGCCTTCACAACGGAGAAGGGAGGGGAGGACGACTGTGGGGTAACGAACGAACAGAGTAAGGGAGGAGGGCAGGAGGTAAAAGTGTGGCAGGGTATAAGGGTGGAAGGAAGGATAGGAGGATGCCTGGACCCTCTCTCCCTCCCCTCCGCCTCCCCTGCCCCGCCTCCTCCGCTCCCCTGCCCCCTTTCATCTGAAGCACTGCGCTCCTTGCTGCCCGATTGCACGCGCTGCCCCGGCTGTGCGCCCAGCGCTCTCCTCCAAAGCCACAGCAGCACCTGCCATGCGTGCGGGGTTGGTGCAAGAGAGAGAAGTGTGGGTGCTGCTGATACACCCTGTGATATCCCACCGCGATCGAGTCACGACCCCATCCCCAGCGCTCGAGACCTGCCCGCCATACGTCCGTGGCCAGGGTGGGTGAGAGGCAGGGAGGGAGGGAGAATGAGAGAAGGTACGGAGGGTGCGAGGATGGGGTGGTAGGAGTGAGAAGGTGGCGATGGGGAGAGCGAGAGCGACCAAATGCGGCAATGGGAAGGGAAGCAACAACGAAACTAAAGAAGATAGGAACGGATGAGAGGGTGGGCGGCATGGGTGGAGAAGCAATGGCGATGAAGAGGTGGAACGTGATAGGCAGGGGACTGATGACGACGTGGAGAGAGGTGGGAGAGAAGGGAGGTCGGCGGGGAGGCTCATTTCCAGGCGACAGGGAGGGCGATGAGAGGGGAAGCGTGGGCGACGGTGGGGGGAAGCGTGGGCGACGGTGGGGGGAAGCGTGGGCGACGGTGGGGGGAAGCGTGGGCGATGTGGGGGAAGGGTGCCAAGCCTGCCAGTAGTGGATCACTACGTTCCCATGACCTTCGAGCATTCTCTCGAGCTCCACGGGTGAGATGAATGGATTTGCACGGACCAAGTCGCCGAATCGCCGAGACAGGATGGGAATAGTATTGGCTAACCCCTCGGCGTAACCCTCCCTCCAATGCAATGGACATGTATGCATCTCCGGAGGAACCAGGCGAGTAATGCACCATAGGCCACCGTGGCCGATTTGACCGTATGAGCAGCTCCATAGGCACGCCGGTAAATAGGCGTCCGATGTGGCCTTGCACCCAACCACTGCGTAGTTATGCTTGACCAAAAGGAACTTTACACCAAACCGATGCTCTAGTGCATACGCATAAACGACCTCCTTGCATTTATCACGGCTAGAGTACATGCCCCCCAGCTCCAATGGCGCGTAATTGTTAGGCCTGTCGTACCTAGGGTTGAACTCGGGAGCCGCATTAAGCTGTCGCAAGGCCTGCGCTAAGGGATTGGAGGAAATACGCAGGCGTTAGACGCTACATGGTGAAGAGTCTTGTCAGATAGTCGATAGGACTATTGAGTGGAGTACTAATGCCGATCCGGATATTAGTGTTGCTAAGCCTAAACGCATGACTGCGTTCAGTGTGTAGCAGGTACTTAAAAATGGGAACCGGGGCTAACAGACACACAGACATGATGCTAACGCTCGGGTTCATGAACCGTTGAAGCTCACGATCGCTTGGATCATGAGTCAATGTTGGCGGGAAATGACATGGGAAAATCCCGAAAGACACGATACAATCAACTTGCATGTAAGCCCCCCCAGTTCGAAATCCAGGCCCTGCAATTATCGAAATATTGTTGGGGAAAGTGATGTGGCATCCCACACGAACTTGAACGATGTGGCATGAGGGTGGGTGGCTGTTTTTTGTAACTGGTTGTGGCAATTCCGAAGTTCACACGAGTACACGCGGTTGCCCGAATTTCGGAGGGGAAGGGCGGGAAAAACGAGTTGGGGGGGCGGGGGAAAGGGGGTCCATCCAATTTAGAAAAACGCCCACGTGGCGAGGGGGGAGCAATTTGGGTCGATTCAATTGAGACAAACGCGATTTCCGCCGATGCGCACGATTTCGCCAATTTTCATGGTGCTGTCATCACAAAAACCCTTGGTTTTGAATTGCGGGTGAAGCAAGCAAAATTGGCTTAGGAAGTTGGATTGGAGGCATTTTGGGGGTTCTTCGTCCAACCCCTAGCAAAATCGTGTCGCCTGATCTTGTTGTGCGCTAAGTTTTTGGTTTCGTACCCATTTCGTGAAATAGAACGCGCCTCGGTCAATCGATTTTTGGCCAGGCTGAGTCGAAAATTGGCGCCATGTGCTGCTTTTGACCATGATTAACCGGGTGTTTGGAATGTACGGAAAGCACGCGGATTTGCTCTCCGCAGAAATAAAATGTGTAGCGAGTCGCAGGTCTTGCTCTGACGCGGGACCAAGGCCCAGTTCGGCAGCCACGGAAGAATGATGGAAGAAAAATTTTCCCTTCTTCTTCGAAGCTTCAAAGCGCATTATCGAGGGCAAAACAGTGCAGGCTGTAGGGTAAAACTTTCGGAAATCAAAGCGCAGGTGTTTAACAGCAGCGACGCGAACCCCACCTAAAATTGAATCCGAGACGGAAGAAGAAAATGATTCTTCTCCAAAACAAGAAATTTTTTTTTTTTTATTCCACAAGATTCACTGTTCACGGGACAAAAACAGCACATCGATGGGATGGGTTATCCAAACAAACCAGCATTCTCCAATAGCGTGGGCTTCTGTCCCCCTTTTTTGTTTGGGGCGGACCCGCTACAGTGCCCTGGGACATTCGAATGTCCAGGCAAATGTGCCTAGACATGCGCGGTGCTGTTTCCCAACCTCCCCCTCCAACCTGCGCCAGCTCCCCCATGGCGCGGGTTGTCCGCGATGCGGTCAAACCAAGGTCAAAATTCGTTGACCCGGCTTTGACGCGCGCCTCACCTTCCCCTCATCTTCCTAATATTTTGCTTCCCCCTGGCTGCCGAACCGGGCCCAAAATGCGTTATTTACCCGTATCAATGTTACTAAGAATAACTGCGTTACCTACCCGTATGGATAGTACCAAGAGTATGTGCGTTATTTATCCGTATAGATGGTACAAAGAGCAAGTCCGGTGCTCACCCGTATGGAGGACCCCAGGATTACATCCGTTATTTACCTATATGAATGGTACCAAGCGTAAGTGTGTTACTTACCCATATGGAGGGCAAGTGCGTTATTTACCCATGGGGATGGTACCAAGAATCAGTTCGTTAGTTTCCCATGTGGATGGCCATATGGCCATATGTTTGGTACCAAGGGTTAGTGTGTTGCTTACCCATATGGAAAGTAACTTACCCGTAAGGATGTTACCAGGAGTAAGTGTGTTAAATTCCCATATGGATGGTACCACGAGTGTATGCGTTACTTACCCATATTGGTGGTACTAAGAAAAAGTGCGTTAATTACCTATTTTGATTCCCAAGAGTTAGTACGTTACTTACCTATATGGAAGACTCTAAGATTACGTGCGTTATCTACCCACATAGATGGTACAAACAGTAAGTGCGTTACTTACCCATATGGATGGTACCAAGAGACGTGCGTTACTTATCCATATGGATTGTACAAAGAATAAGTGCGTTAGTTACCCGTATGGATTGTAACAAGAGTAAGCGCGTTATTTGTTCATATGGACGGTGCTTAAATTGTGTGCATCACTTACCAACATAGATGATACGAAGAATAAGTACGTTTCCAATCCCTATGGATGGTACCAAGAGTAAGTGCGTTACTCACCCATATGGAGGGTACCAAGGGTAAGTGCGTCATTTACCCTTAGGGATGGTACCAAGAGTAATTTCGATGCTTACCTATATGGGTAGTACTAAGAAAAAGTGCGTTACTTACCGATATGGATAGTACCAAGAGCAAGTGCATTACTTATCTGTATAGATGGTACCAAGAGTAAGTTCGTTACTCATCCATATGGAGAGGGTACCAAGTGTAAGTGCGTTATTACCCTATGGGGATGGTACCAAGAGCAAGTTTGTTTCTTATCCGAATAGATGGTAGCAAGAGTAAGTGCTGACTTACCCATATTGATGGTACCGAGTTAGGTGTTACTTCTCCGTATGGCCGATACCAGGAGAATGTGCGTTACTTACTTGTATGGATGTTACCCACAGTAACTGCGTTACTTTACCATATGGATCGTACCAAGAGGAAGTGCATTACTTATTCGTATGGATGGTACCAAAATTAAGTGCATTGCTTATCCGTATGCAGGTTACCAAGAGTAAGTCCGTTGCTTACCCATGTGGATGGTACCAACCGTAAGTGCGTTTCTTATCCATATGGACTGTACCAAGGGTAAGTGCGTTATGTACGCGAACGGATGGTACCAAGAGCATGTTTGTTACTTACCCATATGGATGGTACCAAGAGTATGTGTGTTACTTACCTGACCGAATGGTAGCAAGAGTAAGGTGTTGCTTACCCGTATAGCTATTAACAGGAGTAGGTACGTTTCCAGTGTGGAGGTTACTTAGAGTACGTATGTTACTTATCCATATGGATAGAACCAAGATTTAGTGCATTACTTATCCGTATGCATGGTACCAATAGTAAGTGTGTTTGTTACCCATATGGAAGTTACGAGGAGAAAGTCCGTTACTTACCTATATGGAGTGAGAGGATATAGGATCGAGCTCAGAAAAGAGAGTTTGAATTGAATGAATCACCTGAGTACAATACGAGGCTATATATAGGCTCGACACAAGGCCTTGTAACCAGGTGTTACACGAAGGTTCCGAGGGTCGCAAAGCGTCCCGAACAGACCCAACCCGAATTTGTTAGAAGGCAATTCGGTGGCAACCAAAAGCCTAGAATTCGGTGCACACAACCTAGCTCGGTGCTAAAACTATAACAAAATATAGGAAAGCACCTAGCCTATGAAATCAAGCAATTCATGCATGCATAAAATAAACCTATGCTAGAAATAGCACAAATAAAGTCTAGGCAAGAAAGCATAGCTGGCATAAGCCGTCGTACTCTCAGACGTCCCCCCCTCAAAGCTGGGTGGCGTAAGATACACCCTGCTTGACAAGATAGTCCTTGAGAGCACGGCGAGCATTGCCCATATCAGCTTCTGCAACCCAACTGTCCTCAGTGGGGTCATATCCCTTCCAACGGATCAGGAACTCAAGGGTCTTGCCGCCACGGTGTCGATGATTGAGAATGCGCTCCACTTCATACTCTGGTTCTTCCTGTATGAGCACAGGCGGTGGTGGCGGTAGCTGCCATCCCTGGAACTGTTGGTTGGGATCCTTGTAGGGTTTCAGTAGCTGAACATGGAAAGCATTGTGAAGGTTCGACGTATCTGGTAAGCGCAAGCGGAATGTAACTGGTGTCACCTGTGCCTCAACGAGAAAAGGACCACAGTTTCGAGGGCGGAGTTTGGATGGGAGGTGAGACAGGTTCAAGTTGCGTGTGTCAAGAAGCACCTGATCTCCGATTGCTACTGAGTGATCACGTCGCCGGCGATCGGCATACTGCTTCTGGGAGGTCTGCATCGTGGTGAGACGTCGCTGGGTCTTCTCCCATAGCTGCTGCATGGTGGTGACAAAGTCGTGTGCGGCTTGGACGTGTGCCGGTGTGGTTGGCTGCTGTGGTGTAAATGGTTCCCGTCCGTATCACAAGAAGAAAGGAGTTTTCCCTGTGGCCGCATGTGACGCGTTGTTGTAAGTCAACTCCAGGGTCGGTAACTATATGTCCCAGTGGCTGACGTCATCTTTGCAAGCTGTGCGCAGTAACTGTTCAACCACCTGATTAAGTCGCTCTGTCTGTCCGTCAGTCCTTTGATGGTATGCTGAGGACTTCGCAAGTTTAGTCCCTAATAATCCCATGAGCTCCTTCCAGAACTTACGTGTGAATTTGGGGTCTCTGTCTGAGATGAGTGTAGCGGGGATGCCGTGGATGGTGATGATGCGGTCAAAGAAGAGGCGAGCAGTTGC